TATCTATCTATCTATCTATCTATCTATCTATCTATCTATCTATCTATTATCTATCTATCAAATCAATCTATTATCTATCAATCTACCTATATATTATCTATCTATCTATCTAGCTATCTATCATCTATCTATCATCTATCTATTTCTATCTCTGTGTTAAAAGAATTTATTAAACAGCTTATGCTGGCATAGTAACAACAGCTCTCTCACACACCTGAGAGGCTGAGAACCCGTAGTTGCTTGGTCATTAAGCCTGGGTACCTCAGCAGTCCCAATCTGGCACTGAAAACCCAGAAAGTTTCTGGAGAGTCATGGGACTCCGTCTCCTACGGAAGCCTGGAAACTCCGGTTCTGATACCATAGATGGACTCAGTAGCAACAGGGTAAATCAACCCAGAGGCAAGGAGATCAATCAAGCAAAGGAACCTCTTCCAGCCATGCCCCACCCCCTTTAAATCTGGACTGCCCAGCACCTGGCATCCATATTTGGGTGGCTCTTCCAACATCAAGTATGGCAACTGGGACAACTCCTCCAATGAGACTCCCTACTCCGGTGATTCTAATTTGTGGCCAGTTGCACTAAAACCAAACGTCTCTGTGGTGACATGCACAGGTTGGCCCTGACTTTGGTTCTTAGCTTTCAAAAATACGTGTTTGTCTCACTGTCACCCTGTAGGGCACTCAGCACTCCCACAGGTGGCATGTGTCTCACACTGCCTGCTCTGTCTGGTTCTCTGGGGCTGGGGTCCAGATACCCAAACAGGGATCTCCTACCCAGCCCTGCTGGAACATCATGGGATACAGATTTGGCCTTTGTTCATGGGACTGGGCACTCTCTGGACCATTCTGTCTCTGAGTATGTGATGAGTGACCCCACTGTCCTTTCATAACAACGAATGGAGCCTGATGAGGAAACTGAGAGAGGCTCCCTAACCTCTTCAGATCTTGCACATGTGAATCGCCCAGCTGCAGCCTGAGCCCCAGTTGACTCCTCAGTCTCCAAGTTCAAGTGCAGGCAAGAAAACCTGGTAACAGCGGCTGGGAGACATTCCCTGGGCAGTGTGCTCGCTCACTCCACAAGCATATGGACTAAAGTTCGATACCCAGAAGACATGTGAAAAAGACGGGCGTTGTGCTGGCGTCTGTTTTAATCCCTGTAGTGGGGAGGAGGAGAGAGGCCGGTTCCTGGGGCTCCACAGGATCAGCCAGCCTAACCTACCTGACAAGTTCCAGGGCAGCGAGAAAACTTGTCTCAAAAAAAAAAAAGTGCCTAGAAAATAACACTTCAGGTTGGCCCTCGGCCTACATGTGTGCACACACACAAACACTTCAGGGTGGCCCTCGGCCTACATGTGTGCACACACACAAACACTTCAGGTTGGCCCTCGGCCTACATGTGTGCACACACACAAACACTTCAGGGTGGCCTCTGGCCTACATGTGTGCACACACACAAACACTTCAGGGTGGCCTCCGGCCTACATGTGTGCACACACACAAAC